TGTCTACCCAGTTAATTGAGAAGAACCAGAAACATCAGGAGTTTCTTCAGTTCCTTGCTCTATCTAAGTGTCACGAGGAATTATGTTATGTACAGAGTATGATCTACTTCCTTCATTATGTTATTCTTCAAGCAAATAAGCTATGTGCTTTTAGTTGATGTGTGTAATTGGAAGATTCAATCTACCATAATAATATGAAGTAATCCTTGATAAATAATCCATATATTAGTTGGGATGTTGGGTTGTATGCCTAATTGCCTATACATCAACATAGGAACATTTGTGACATCTTTTGGGCAGTGGTCAGACCAGCTATGGTATACAGAGGAAAGTGCTGGGTGGTGAAGAAAAATGTTTGTCAGCTCCAAGTGGCAGAGATGCAGATGCTGAGGTGGATATGTGGTCATACAAGAATGGATAAGATCCAGAACAAGGTTATCTGGGAAGGGCGGGAGTGGTTCCTATAGAGGAGTAGTTGCGAGAAGCTCGACTGAGGTGGTTTGTCCACGTTAGAAGGAGGGGTGTTGAGGCCCCTGCAAGGAGATACGAGAGGCTTGCGGTACTGGGAGTGAGATGGGGGTAGACGTAGACCTCGGAAGAGTTGGATGGAAGCGATTAGACATGACTTATGACTTCATGATCTTAACGAGGATATGACCTTAGATAGAAACACCTAGAGATCTAGGGTTAGAGCAGTGGGTAGACTCGTGCGCCATAGCTTTTAGTTTTTGCTGGCTTGGTTTTTATGCCCTAATCTGTGTGCGTGCGCTTGTGTGCTTTGGATCTAGGTGTTTGAGTGGGTATGTGTGCCTCTCTCTTTACTTGCACTTTGTTAGTGTTATTGTGGTTTGTTTGACCATACTTCTGTTTTGAGCCGGGGGTCTCTTGGGAATAGCCTCTCTACTTCCAAGTAGGGGTAAAGTCTGTACACTAATCCTCCCTAGACCCTACCATGTGTGGGATTTACTAGGTTTGTTGTTGTTGTTGTTGTTCATGCATTCATCAATCCTTCATGATTCAAAAATGGGAGCAACATCACCGGCTTGTAGAAAACACGATTCCTTGTGTCATTGTCTAATACTCTGTATCTTGTATCTGATTGATTATGTAGCCAATTTTGTCTGACTGAATTTTTTTATCTTTCCTTCAATCATGCTCTTAGTAAGATAAACAGTATTACTTTAGTTCTTTCTATAGACCAAATAAAAGTTATGGCAGCTGGTTTCCTGTATGGGTTTGCACGCTCTTAAGGTTAAGAGGTTTAAGCTTCTGCTTGCAGGACACTCGTTGCAAATTATCATGGAACATGGGGAAAAGCTTGCTGCCATGATCCAACTGAGGGAGCTCCAAAGTAAAGTTAGTCAGAACCATGGAACTGAGTCCGGCTCTCATTTGCATTCGGAAATGCAATTCTCTAGTGCTCTTTGGGATCTTATTCAGTTAGTTGGTGAAAGAGCTCGCAGAAGAACTGTTCTTTTGATGGACAGAGACAATGCTGAAGTATTTTACAGTAAAGTATCAGATCTTGAAGAACTATTCCATTGCCTTGAGAGACAGTTTGATTATGTTGTTCACGAGGACATGCCAGTTTCTGTTCAGATCCAAAGAGTTTGTGAACTTTCTAATGCATGTGTGATACTATTTCGCACTGCCATGAATTACAGAAATGAGCAGCACATATGGTATCCTTCACCTGAGGGCTTGATGCCATGGACTTCTCAAGAAAAAGTACGTAACGGGCTTTGGAAGATTGCATCTTTCATGCTTCAATTGTCTAAGCAAAAATATCCAGTTGATGATGCTATAAAATGGAACTATTATTCATACCTCGAAGGACTCTCCGATGTTTTATTAGAGTCATATTCTGGTGCAATCACAGCAAGGAATGGATATGGAGGACATAAAGGTTTATTGGATGAGTTTTCAGGCAGGAAAGATGCACTCCTGGATAGCCTTTATCAGCAAGTGAAAGACTTCGTTGAAGTGAACACCCAGGTTTTTTGTTTTTTAGTACACTCTCCTTATTCTAAAGATTGCTCCGATTGGATTTCTATGGGTCCTTGGCGTAAATCTGTGGGGGTATTATATAGTGTTTAAAATTTGAAAAAAAGAAGGCAAAACCAAAGGAATTTGTGAGAAAAGTGGGAGAGAGAAGATGAAAAAGTAAGGACACTTATGTCATTTGATAAGGTCATATTTGCTAAAGGGGATAGTGGAAGAAGTAATTAAAAACTCTTAAAAGCAAATGGAGCAACTTTTAAAATGTGGGGGGGGGGGAGATATACTTTTACATGATACTTCTAGTGGCATGTGATTCACTTGGAACTTGGGAGCATCTCATGTATGGTGTTGTTTAGACTGGTTTGTATGGCATACTTCAATTGAGCATTTCTTACTCTAGTCTTAGTGTGAGTTACTTTGTTAATGGGATAAAGGTTTACATTCTTTTTTGGAGAGGCGATTGTATATTTGTATTTTAATGTTGTTTCTTGCTAAATGTTTTTAATCATGCAGGATTCAGAACAGGACTTTACGCACGAACACGAGGAACTGTTTAGAAAGCTTTCGTCAGGCTTATTTTCTATTGCTAAAAGACACGAAGGCTATCAAACTCTATGGAATATTTGCACAGATCTCAATGATTTAAACCTTCTTGGGACTCTTATGGTATGGAATCATTTGTTTAATTATTTTCTGTTTTGCACTATCGGTGTGTCTGCTTCCTATACCTTGATCTTGTCTTTAGTGTGGTGTAACCAGAACATTTGTTTGAGAGCACAACAAATGTTTATATCAAAAGAAAACTAAAATTTATATTAAACATACTCCCTCCGTCCCAAAATAAACTTTGGTATTTGAGTTCATGAAGGATAAGAAAATTGTTGAAAAGTAAAAAGTGGTTGGTTGAAATTTAACTAAGTAACTAGAGAGAGAAAGATTGCGAGCCACATATTTACCTAAATACCTGAGTAGTATAAAGGAGAAGTATGGAGTCTATTTTGGGATGATCAAAAAAAGAAAGTGAAGTTTATTTTGGGACAAATGGAGTATATAAATAGATTTTGATGTTGGCATCACCAGGGACGGATAAATCTAATTAAATAATGTTGTGTTTATAAATTATAGTGATAATATTTTGCTCTGCAAGTGTCTTGTCCCATTGTTTCTAATGTTTCTTTTTGTTTATTTAACTCAATTATGTGCACATTTTTAATTAACTTATTGGATAAGGTGATTATTTCTCCTCTAGCTCCACCCTCATAAGATTCATGTTTTCTTTTGCAGCACGAGAGTATGGGACGTACAGGGGGGTTTTGTTACTTTGTCTTCCAACGGATGTATGAAAACAAACAGTTTTCTAAGCTTATGAGATTTGGGGAGGAGTTTCAGGAAGAGCTAACAATTTTTCTTAAGCGACACCACGATCTCCTTTGGCTTCATGAAGTGTTTCTCCATGAGTTTTCTTCTGCTACAGAAACCCTACATGTCTTGGCACTTTCCCAAGATGATGATCGAATTTCAGATATGGAGGCCTCTTACGCCTCAGACAAGAGAACCTCATTGTCAGATAGAAAGCGTTTTTTAAATCTCTCAAAGATAGCAGCTATGGCAGGTATATTGTGCTTCACTCCTGGCTTCTTCCTCTATACAGAACACACATAAAATAATTAAGTAGATATTTTAACAGGGAAAGATCTGGTTATTGAATTCATGGAAAATAATTCATAAATGGTATTTCTTTCCACGGTTTGTTGCATTGAGATAATAAAAACAAGGCATGGACTTCATATAATTATATTAGGTTGCATTATGTGCTGTAAGAGAATTCCCTGGTTCAAGAGATCATTTTCTTTTACCACAATATTGGGAGCCAATAATTTCTCTTATTCATTTCTCAGAGGTAGGACTAATAACAGGAATTGGGTCCTTCTGTGGCACAAGAGCCTAGCAGTATGGACATTGGTAGCTCCAAAGAGGGCTTAATGGTTAATATGCTAGTAGTTTTTGTTCAAAAGCCTACAAAATAGGCTAGAAGAAATTTAGTTTGTGATTTCCATATAGCTTCCTCATTTTCTGATAAAAGATTTAAAGAATATTTTGACGCTTGACAGGAAGGGATGCAAATTTTGAAACAAAGGTAAAGAGAATTGACGCTGACCTGAAAATTCTAAACTCACAGGTAAATATACCTGACACCAATGACTCCGAGGTTGTAATTCCCATTTCTCCTTGGTAATATGGTTTTATCTTAGCAGTTGATGCTTTTCATTTTGATTCTTTTAAACTGTATAAACATAGTGATAACACCTTAAGATCTCGCCTAAAAACCCAAGTGGCCTTGGCATCGTCCCCCCCTTCGCCTAACTAGGAGCGCTTTTGTAAATGATTTCTTATAAATGGAAATTTTAGAAGGAAGATTTGGGTCGACAAAACAGTGAATAATATACAATTACTTAATTTTAGATATTGGTTCAAACTCAATTTGTTTATGCACACACACACACATTAACACATATGCGATCCTCTTTACAAAGTTTTACTCAATATGATTTTCCTCTTTATTTTACCTGGTAGAAGTGTAAAACCAAACATTAAAAAAGCAAAATTTCATTCCTTAACACTATGTTTGGTACTTTAATAAAAGAAAATAGTTTTTTCTCATATTTCTCCCCAAAATGAGAGGACTTTGCATTTCCTTCTTAGTACATTTTGCCTTCTCATTTTCTTTTCCTTCCACTTCTCTTTTCTTTTCTTTTCCTCTCTAACCAAGTAAGAAAAAATGTTTTCCATCTCATTTTCTTTTCTTTTCTTTTTCAAATTCCTTGAACCAAACATAGTGTAAGGGAAAGCCCTCAAACCAACAAATTGGCCACTCTAAGGAGTTGAATATCATTTACTTATAAAGGTCAATTGTCCTGCAGGAAGAAATACTTAGAGTGCTTCCCGAAAACGAAATGCAAAACATAGGGCCAAACCAGCAGCTTCTTTCGCCAAGACATCTAATAGAACTGTGCCTCAAGAGTCAAACAAGGGAGCTTTCATTGATAGCTTTTGATGTGTTTGCATGGACAAGCCTCTCCTTTCTCAAATCCAACGCGAGCCTGTTGGAAGAGTGCTGGAGAAATGCTTTGACTCAGGATGACTGGGAGAAGCTACACCAAGCTTCCATAGCCGAGGGTTGGGGCGACGAGGAGAGCCTATCCATTCTGCAAGACACAGTTCTCTTCCAGGCTTCAGCTAGGTGTTACGGGCCCCACGCGGAGACATTTGAGGGCAGTTTCAGTCAAGTGCTTCCACTCAGGCAAGAAGAAAGCTCCGAGCTCCAAAACCCCAACGGAGTGGCTCCTTCATCCTCTGTAGAATCCATACTGATGCAGCACCACGATTTCCCCGATGCGGGCAGGTTAATGCTGACCGCTGTCATGCTGGGCAGTGTCGTAGATGATGAGAAATCGACACGGGACCCTTCTTCTCAGATGGCGTGATGATTGATGAGCACGCGACTTTTATTTGTATTGTTTTTTCCCTCATAGTTGGTTTTGTAGAACTTATTTGTGTTGATGATTATATTTTGGGGAGAGTTTGAATTGATCTTGTATGGGACAGCCTGAAAATAGAGAATTAGAGCAAAACTTTCTTGACCTCTAGCCACCACAATCAAACTGCCCAGTTCCACAGGCTGTTTCTCTCCATTTCTGGAGGGTGATATTGTCAATACTCAAATTACTAGGACACTCCTCGCCTTTTAGCATTTAAAATTACCCTCCCTATACTTCATCCGTTTTGAAAATCTTGTCTCACTTTGAACAATATGTAAAATTTTATAATTGTTAAAAGTTATATTATTTATACAAATAAAAAAAATTCCATATTCCAAAATTACATTAAAAAAAAAGTTAAAATAAGATGTGATAAAATTATTTTATCAAATAATTAATGAATAACAACCAAATAAATAAAAATTCATTGGGAAAATAATAATAATTGAGAGAGATGAGTATTCTTTTTAATCATATTTTTACAAGACACGATCACTAATAACCCTAATAAATACTCTCTTGGCTTTGGAATTGATTTTAATTTCGGTACGGAGATTTGTGTCTGTAATTGCTATTGGAATACAAATTTGGGGTACCTTTACCAGGTGTTATTTGTATATCAAGGTCACTCCGGTTCATGTTACATTGGTTGGCAATGCCATAGCATGATCCGGGGCACCTACAATACTCCGTTTGAAAATTTGATGCTTTTTACTCCTTAACTTCACATCTTGCTCTGACTTGAAATCACCTTCAGCCCTTAAATTGAACCCTCCAAGTTTAGTTAATTTTGGAATAAAAATGTTGCCTCCAAAGTTAAAAAAACTTGGAGGGTGCAATTGAAAGGAGTGGGGGAGGGTCAGGGTAGGGTGGGAGGTTTGACCGGGGAGTTAGGAGATCTAGGAACCATCAATTTTACAAACAGGACACCGTAGAACCCTCGGGTCATCCATGACATTGATAGTCAATGTCATTGGAATTGCCTCCTATCAAGCAGGCCCGCCCAATGGGGAGTGCAAGGGGTGCTCTTGCATAGGGCCTCCAAAATGATGGGTCCTATTGTAATTCAATTAAAAGCCCATTATTTTATCTCAATTCTCAAGTCAATTAAGTACTCTGTAACACTCATGTTTAAGACTCTTCCTTCTACCTTCTTTGTTCTTCAACCGGGCTTTTCGGTTCCTTCTACATCTTGTGTCAATTATGTTTGATTTTTCATTTATAGGCTGCATCTTTAATAATTTTTTATTTTCAGTTCTTTGAGAACTAATCTGTTTTGTTTTTTCTGTTTTTTCATCTTCATTTTGTTTTAAAATTGATCTGTTTTTTTCATTTCTAAATTTAGTTTTAAGAACTTAATTCAGTTTTAAAAATCCAATTTTAAATTGATTTTTAATTATTAACGAATTATTTTTTATTTGGTTTCTTCAATTCTAAAAGTGATTCTATTGCAAGTTACTCCGTACTACGTAACTTTTTTTGGACAAAAGCAAATTCTAAAGAAAAAGTTATTATTCAAACTACTTGCATTGCAACATGTGCAATTCTTAGGTTTTATCGCTCCACTAATAAAAAGACTTGAAGTTTATTATTCCGTATATTATTTTTAATAGAATTTGTCACAACTTTTATTTTAACTTAAAAAGTTTAGAGCCAAAAGTACTAAATAGCACAAGGCCTTTTAAAATGATTGGGCGGGCCTGCTATCAAGTTACTCCGTATATACGAGTACTTTACAATGACACAATGAGGGCATACATAGACACAAAGTCGCAAAATTTTACAATAAGTATTTGTGTTAGTGTTTGCCATTAGAGTGCGAGAGCATAAAACAGTGTATAACGTGATGTGCATCAAGTGATATACAAGTAGTAAATTTGATTTTTGTATAGATTTCAACAGAGTTATATCACCTTTAGAGTCCAATTTTTCTTTTACTCTCTTTGTTCGATTTGACCTCTTAGTTTGTCAATTTATAAGGGAACGATAATATAAAATCTATTTCGTATTCTAAAAAAATTAATTGAATTACATCAATTAACTTATCAAATAATTTAGAACTAGTCTTATAAAATGCTTGAGTTCAAAATAATTATAAGTGAAAGGTAGTACTTCCTCGGTCCTATTTTAAATTGCTTCTTGTTGTTTACGATGTGTGATTGAATTTATATTTAAATAAATTTATATGAAAACTTGGATAGAATGAAAAGATAAAATTTATAAATCAAAAAACTACTTTAGATTTTTTAGATTGGAAAATTAACTTTCAACTTCTTTCAACTCTACCAATTTCATCCAACTCCTTCCAATTTCTTCAAATAGTGGCTTAAAATTATTTTATACTCGTATATGATAAATATTAAATAACATTATATATTCAAATTCATAACTACCACCTCAGATATGGAGAATGATGAATTCTTTTTATATCCAAAACTAGATTTCTTACTTATTTATTTGGGTGATTATTTAATTGAATGATTTTTTAACACTTTAATTTTTCCAACATTTTTCAAATTCTTTTAGCTTTTTCCAACTTCTTACAGTTTTTTCTAACATCCAACTCTGAAATTCTAATCCAAAAGAACAAAACTTTAATGTATTAAAGTTCATAAAATGAGCATATAAAATAAGCAAAAGCATAGACCTTAGTTTTCTTATACATGTCCCATCAAAGTGGATTTTTTAATTAGGGAGGGAAGGAGTAATAATATTAATTAAACAATAATAATAAATAAATAAACACAGATTATAGAGTCTGCACTGTATAATACATTTGTGAGACCCCTTTCATGAATGATGACAACACGTGAGTTTTTTTTGGAGAACAAAACCTATGGCACTTGATGATCAATATTTATATTTCAAAAAAAAAAATCTCAACTATTTCTTGGCAATCTTCCAATGCATTCCTATGAAGGTCCTAAGAAGCACCTTCAGGCTAATCTAACACATAACTAACATATGCCAACAATATACATTTCGCACGGCAACCTATGTACTTCTGCTACATCTTCAAATTTCATTGAAAAAAAATTGGTAACAAAAAAGAATATGTGGTACAAAAATGGAATGAATACCTAAATAGGTATGAGTGTACAACTAAGGTTGTTTTTCCTACCTCAAAGTTTCATGGTTCATCGTTGATAGTAAAGCCGAATGTATGGACACGTCACAAGCTCTTCTCTATGGAATGATCTTGCAGAGGAAGAAAAAAGAAAGGAAAAAAAGTCAGTTTTCATTTAAAAGAAGTCATGTGGGAATTCCTCTGAAGTTTCATCACCACTCAATCTCACAAATATGTGTATATATTCAAACTCAAAAATACGTGTATTTTCTATATTTTTTCGAACGGATATTATTAATGTACTTCTATTATGTATAGAGACTTAAAAATCAAAACTTCTGTAAAAAAAAAAATAAACACAATAATTATATGAAGGATTTCATTCCTTTTGGGTTTTCAGAGGTTAAGCCAAACACACGAACATAAGTACATAACTAAATCATTTGTTACCCTTTTCTCTTTGAAAAGGCTATCTAAGGTCAACATTTAGCTTTAGCTTCTTCAAAGTTAATCTACCCCATGAAAAAAATTATCCAAACCTCTTACGCTAACTGAAAAAGCAGTTCCCAAACAAGGCCTATATTGCAATGTTGCAAAAATCATGATGCTGGTGACTGGTCAATGATTTTTACCTGACAATGACTAGCTGCTGGAGCTCAGGCAGCAATCTGCCACTGCACATTATGTCTGATGGATGTTCTGTAAGATGGTGCAAAATATATATGATTTAGTTTCAAACTCTATGAAGAAAGGGGCAAAAAAGTAAATATAACTAAATGAACTCAGTACCATCTGAGATGAAACTTCACAATCTGTGATCATTGAATTTGGGAGGGGGAATACCATGCATAGCATTTCTGTCCCGGAGATGCATTAAAGAAAAAAATAATAATGCATCACGGAGGTCCGTCTTATCCACATATCAGACACCAAGATGCTTCAAATCCTTCAGGTCCAAGAAAAATAATTGTACTCATTTCTGATTTCGCATGAGTCTCAACTTCTTATCAATTTCCCCAGTATCAATATATGTATCGACTTTTGACAATTCTCTTGCCAATATAAAGTATGTCTGCAAATTCAGATTCTGATTCTTGGACTCTAGAATAAGTAGAAGCTTCATGCACATTTCTGACTCCCCCTCGAGCAAATCATCAACCAGGGATGGTCCAAACAATCTCATCACAGTTGTGCTGTTGCTCAAGAACACCAATAAACAAAGCTTCAGCATCATCTACCCACCGTGCTCTACAAAGAGACAAAATAAGTAGCCGATAAATATTCAAGGAAGGTAAAATGCCCTTCGAAGTCATTGAGTGGAAAATTTCCAGAGCAAGATCCACTTTTCCCAGCATATGTGCAACCAACTGCTCTGCTTCATCAATTTTGCCTTCTTTACAAAGTCCAACCACTAAGGCAGAATATGTATCTAAATTGGGTTCACAACTAATTGTCGACATTCTATCTAATAACCTAAATAAAACATCAATACCATAATCCTTCCCATTTTGCAAACCCTTCACAAGCACGGTAAAGGTTCTATAATTTGGTCTGCAGCCACTATCAATCATTTTGGAGAGAAGTAAGAAGGCATGATCTAGCCTACCCAAACCCACAAATCCATCCATCAATGAAGTATATGTGACATGATCAGGAACTATTCCCTTCAGCTCCATTTCTTTGAGTAGAATCTCAGCCTCATCCGCCTGGCCCTTGAGGCATAAACCGTGGATGAGTGAGCTATAAGTGAACAAGTTTGGCAAGCAATTCCCCTTTTCCATTTCTTGGAATATTTTAAATGCATTTTGTGTATCACCATTCTTCGACAACCAGTCAATCAATGATGTATATGTGATGACACTAGGGACCAGACCTCTTTCAGAAAATGTATTCCACATTTTATCTGCTTCAGAAATCCGGTTTGCTTTTAATAAACCATTTATAATCACATTGCAAGTCTCGATTCCTGGACTGCAGCCGTTCTTCTCCATCGTTTGGAACAAAGCAATCGCAGCATCTATTTTTTCTGTTTTAGCAAGACCGTTTATTAATGTCGTGTAATTAACCTTGTTTGGACTCAACCCTTGTGTGATCATTTCATCAAAGAAAGCTACAGCCGAATCAATCTTCTCCCTTTTGAAGAAACCAGAAACAAGCTCTGCATAAGTCCACTCGTCTGGCTTAACCCCACAATTCTTCATCATATCCAACAGCCTAACAGCATTCTCCAGGAGACCCCGTTCAAGGTATCCTCTTATAAGCGTATTGTATGTGATCACTGTTGGGGTGGGGCCCGATTTTAACATTTCGTTGAAAAGTACCATTCCACACTCCATATTTCCCACTGTACATAATCCATGAATGAGGGTATTGCAGGTTCTAGAGTTTGGCTGGTAAACATGAGCCTTCATCCACCGAAGAACACTATGGGCGGCACTGATTAATCTCTCATCACATAATTCCTTGATTAGAGCATTGCATGTTACTGTGGTTGGAATCACACCCTCTCTGACCATCTTGTTGAACAACCCAATCACAACCTTAAGACGACCAGAACAACAAAGCCCACTCATCAAAGCGGTGTATGTTTGAACATTTGGCTTACAACCTCTCTTTCTCATGATCAGCACAAGATCGATAGCCTTCTCTACACGTCCTGTCGCGCATAATGAAGTAATCGGAACAGTGTATGTGTACACCGTTGGTTCAACCCCTTTCTCAGTCATCTCCTTCAGCAAAATCAAAGCCTCATCAACTCTCCCTTGGCTACACAGCCCATTTATGAGAGTCGCATAACTTACTGCATTTGGGTGAATTCCCTCATTTACCATCTGATTGAAAACATGAAAGGCCAAATCTATGTTCATGTTCCTGCAGTGCCCAAGCATGAAGGATGTGTGTGTGAAAACATCTGGAAGCATCCCATTCCCATATATTTGACTCAATATCCCTTGAGCCTCCTTCACCTTCCCTTGCTTACACAATATATTTATCATTGTGTTGAAAGTTAGCAAGCTAGGATGGACCCCGTTGTCTATCATTTCTCTGAAAGCAGTTTGAGCAGCCTCAACCATGTCAAACTTGGCTAGCCGAATCAAGAGAGTATTATAACTATACAAACCATGTCCGAGGCCCCTTTTCCTAATCTCGTTCAAATACTCAACAACCCTCATCATTTCTTCCATGTTCCTGCAATCTTTTATCATCAAAATCTTGACATGATCAGCATGTTCACATTTCTTCTCCCTCAAGAGCCTATTCAGCATTGAAACGTAACAATGCATATCATGCTTGTAAAAATGCCTCTTAGAAACCCAATAAAAGAACTGGAGAGCTGTGTCGCTGTTCTCATGGATCTCAACCACCCTCGCAACGTGGTGGGGTCTCAGCTTAGGGCGCAAGGAGTCCAGCTCCACGCTATGTTTCCACTGAATCCGACGATTAGACAAAATTCCACAGACCTTGGAGACCAAGTCCAGTGATGAATTTACACTCGGTTCTTGATTTCTATGAGACTCGGCCAATTCACAAACATGCGGCCTCGATGAAAAATAAAGAGAACTCGTGTATGAAGAGCGAGTGTCGTTTTTACTGGTCCGGCGGCGACGAATCAGATAATGAAGAGATTTGAGTCTGGGAGGGTTTACCATTTCGCGCGGAGGCGGCGGCGTTCATGAATTGGGGGGGGTTGTTCTTGGATCGCCGGGGAGATCGGGAGACGGCCAAGCGTTGATGAGAAGGAGAAGAAGAAGCATCAAAGGTGGGTGAACGTGGCCATGGCGAGACCACGCAGGGAGAAATCAAACAGCTCGGAATCAGGAAACAATCAAATTGTGCAGACCCGGGACTGCTCGGGGCGGGTTGGACAGGTATCCGAATTTTGGAGGGTTCGGCCGCTGCTTAATGGGCCAACACCTTTACCCAAGCTCAATGTTCTTTCTAGCCTCCGTGTATTTGGGCTAAAAATTTCTCCCTTCCTTTTGATGATTCTCTAATATGTACTCCGTAATCCGTATTAAGCAATACGTAATCCTTCACTATGATTCACTCTAAATTAACAGTCACTCAGCACAACATCAACGTTGACTGTACTCATCGTTTCATCCACTTCATACTTGTAGTGCCTCACATTCATTGCAATAATTTTTATTTTCCAAGACATTCAAAAAGTAGACAAATATTTCTATTATCAAAAATTTTTATGTGGCTCACCATATTCATCACTTTCAATCGAATAATTTTTCTTTTCAAATGTGTTCCGAACTCAATCAAGAGATTATTTTGGGACAAAGGGAGTATATATAGTTTTTCCCAAAAAGGTTAAAAGCTTTCTTGAACTTGAACCGAAATTGTCCGGAACCCCTTAGCGATACCGATAACGGTTCCACCATACATGAAAATTGAGAATCAAGAACTCGCAGTTTTAGAATGAATAGTTCATATTAGACCTGGAGAAGAGTGGTTCGCTGTACATGGTCGGGTTACCGTCTGAGAGAGTGACCATCACAGTTCAGAAGAGAAACAAAGTCTGGTTCGCTGTACATGGAGTCCTTTCTTGTTCCATTCATAAACTCAATTAAATGTTCAAGTTTAAATATGAGAATACGAAAGGTTCAAAAAACCAGTGTGAGACTAGGGTTTTACTCTTCCATCATATTCAACTTCGAGAATTAATTTCTCATTCACCCAAGCACCATTTGTGGTGTGTAATTTGTCGAAACATTTATCTCACTTACGAGATTAAACGTCCAAAATTATTTCAGAAAATAATTTTGTGGACCCCACTAAATTTTTGTCCGAAAATGTCCAATTTATCTAAAAAAATTCCAACAATTTATATTATAATTCAATATACTTTTTCACAATTTGTATTCAAAATGTATAATTTTTTGACCAAATATTATTTAAAATGAGTAATGTTTTGTGAAATGGAGTATTATACCTTGCACGTTTTTTTCTAGGACTCTGTGCCGAAAGGAACGCCACTTCGAACGTGACCTAATATGATTGATATTTGACCTCTCCCCAAAAAAATTTTTGAGTGCCCTTTCCACGATATTTAAGCCGAGTTTGAAAAAAACTCCGTTCCAAATTAAATGTTGTGGATCAATGAAATTATGCGTTAAGCGGTTTTTTATAGTGTCCAAAATTGGAGAAAGTTTCTACTTAATTTGTATGGTTATCTTTATTATTGTAATTAATAATAATAATGCAGGTTCGACGTCAACGAGCAAAAGGTTTCATCTTCGGATACCCGTATGGGCACGACAGTACAGTACAATTTCTTTCTCAGACATTCACTCACGATAACACTTACCATAAATAAATAATATCATCGTTGTAATTTTTATGCATAGGTGGGGTTATTTTAACATGAAGCTAGCAAGGAGCGTGGATGTGACATTATTATTGGTTGATTTCGAACACATGTACCTTTCAGATCTTCTCAACGACTAATTTATTTATTGATTTAATGTCCCTCAACTTTTCTCTTATATTATATAGGTAAAGGTTGTATCGGACTTCATAGGAAGTTTGATAAAAATCCCGACTATGACAACTACTTCTACATAACATGGGACGAAACAAATACCACAAGAGAAGCAATTCAGTTCATACAGAACTCTAAGAAAGAGATAACAAATTTACGTGGAAAAAACATGGGCTTGAAGAAGAATGGTGACATGATTTTTGCTTAAGTTCTAGCTGGGGTATGTATGAATGATGATGAATCATCTTTTATTTAGAATACTTGTTAATTAGTTCCCTTCCTTTTTTTTAAATATTTATGTTAAAAATATTATAGAGGGAATAAAATAAAATTAATCCAAACTTATGAAACGTTCGGATTTTACACAGGAAATAAAACAAAGAAAAATTAGAGTCTTCTAGAAGCACGTCGGAATGAAACTTAAATAGGAACACGAACGGACTAGGCGATATGTTACGAGGCGTCACAGGCACCTCCATGTGCATGCATGCTTAACTCACGTCACTTCGATATTAACGAAATGCAAACGCGGGCATGGACACGGGCACTGGCGCGGCGCGCGCCCTGCCGCGACACGCGCGCGCGTTTCGTGATGTGCCGTGTCGTGCCGTGCCGTGCCGAGCCAGACGGACGGCGACGGTAGCGGCGCGAGAGGAGTCCTTTCTTGTTCTTTTCACAAACTCAATTAAATGTTCAAGTTTAAATATGAGAATACGAAAGGTTCAAAAAACCAAAGTGGGACTAGGGTTTTACTCTTCCCTCATATTCAACTTTGAGATTTAATTTCTCATTCACCCAAGCACCATTTGTGGCCTATAATTTGTCAAAACATTTATCTCACTTACGAGATTAAACGTCCATAATTATTTCAGAAAATAATTTTGTGGACCCCACCGAATATTTGTCTGGAAATGTCCAATTTATCCAAAAACCTCCAACAATTTATATTATAATTAAATATACTTTTTTCACAATTTGTATTCAAAATTTATAATATTTTGACCAAATATTATTTAAAATGAGTAATGTTTTGTGAAATGGAGTATTATACTTTGCACGTTTTTTTCTAGGACTCTGTGCCGAAAGGAACGCCACTTCGAACGTGACCTAATAAGATTGGTATTTGACCTCTCCCCAAAAAAATTTTTGAGTGCCCTTTCCACGATATTTAAGCCGAGTTTGAAGAAAACTCCGTTCCAAATTAAATGTTGTGGATCAATGAAATTATGCGTTAAGCGGTTTTTTATAGTGTCCAAAATTGGAGAAAGTTTCTACTTAATTTGTATGGTTATCTTTATGATTGTAATTAATAATAATAATGCAGGTTCGACGTCAACGAGCAAAAGGTTTCATCTTCGGATACCCGTATTGGCACGACAGTACAGTACAATTTCTTTCTCAGACATTCACTCACGATAACACTTATCATAAATAAATAATATCATCGTTGTAATTTTTATGCATAGGTGGGGTTATTTTAACATGAGGCTAGCAAGGAGCGTGGATGTGACAATATTATTGGTCGATTTCGAACACATGTACCTTTCAGATCTTCTCAACGACTAATTTATTTATTGATTTAATGTCCCTCAACTTTTCTCTTATGTTATATAGGTAAAGGTTGTATCAGACTTCATAGGAAGTTTGAAAAAAATCCCGACTATAACAACTACTTCTACATAACATGGGACGAAAGAAATACCACAAGAGAAGCAATTCAGTTCATACAGAACTCTAAGAAAGAGAGAACAAATTTACGTGGAAAAAACATGGGCTTGAAGAAGAATGGTGACATGATTTTTGCCTAGGTTCTAGCTGGGGTATGTATGAATGATGATGAATCATCTTTTATTTAGAATACTTATTAATTAGTTTCCTTCCTTTTTTTAAATATTTATGTTAAAAATATTATAGAGGGAATAAAATAAAATTAATCCAAACTTATGAAACGTTCGGATTTTACACAGGAAATAAAACAAAGAAAAATTAGAGTCTTCTAGAAGCACGTCGGAATGAAACTGAAATAGGAACACGAACGGACTAGGCGATATTACGAGGCGTCACAGGCGCCTCCATGTGCATGCATGCTTAACTCACGTCACTTCGTTATTAACGAAATGCAAACGCGGGCATGGACACAGGCACGGGCGCGGCACGCGCCACGCCACGCCTCGCCCTGCCGCGACACGCGCGCGCGTTTCGTGATGTGCCGTGTCGTGCCGTGCCGAGCCAGACGGACGGCGACGGTAGCGGCGCGAGAGGAGTCCTTTCTTGTTCTTTTCACAAACTCAATTAAATGTTCAAGTTTAAATATGAGAATACGAAAGGTTCAAAAAACCAAAGTGGGACTAGGGTTTTACTCTTCCCTCATATTCAACTCTGAGATTTAATTTCTCATTCACCCAAGCACCATTTGTGGCGTGTAATTTGTCGAAACATTTATCTCACTTACGAGATTAAACGTCCATAATTATTTCAGAAAATAATTTTGTGGACCCCACCGAATTTTTGTCTGGAAATGTCCAATTTATCCAAAAAGTTCCAACAATTTATATTATAATTAAATATACTTTTTTCACAATTTGTATTCAAAATGTATAATTTTTTGACAAAATATTATTTAAAATGAGTAATGCTTTGTGAAATGGAGGAGTATTATACTTTACATGTTTTTTTCCCGGACTCTGTGCCGAAAGGGACGCCACTTCGAACGTGACCTGATACGACTGGTATTTGACCTCTCCCCAAAAAAAATTTTGAGTGCCTTTTCCACCGAAATTTAAGCCGAAGATGAAGAAAACTTTGTTCCAAATTAAATGTTGTGGATCAATGAAATTATGCATTAAGCGGTTTTTTTATAGTGTCCAAAATTGGAGAAAGTTTCTACTTAATTTGTAT